GTTAGGTTAGGTAAGGTTAGGTAAGGTTAGGTTAGGTTAGGTTAGGTTAGGTTAGGTAAGGTTAGGTTAGGTTAGGTAAGGTTAGGTTAGGTTAGGTTAGGTTAGGTTAGGTTAGGTAAGGTTAGGTTAGGTTAGGTTAGGTTAGGTTAGGTTAGGTTAGGTAAGGTTAGGTTAGGTTAGGTTAGGTTAGGTTAGGTAAGGTTAGGTTAGGTTAGGTTAGGTTAGGTTAGGTTAGGTTAGGTTAGGTAAGGTTAGGTTAGGTTAGGTTAGGTTAGGTTAGGTAAGGTTAGGTTAGGTTAGGTTAGGTTAGGTTAGGTAAGGTTAGGTTAGGTTAGGTTAGGTAAGGTTAGGTTAGGTTAGGTTAGGTTAGGTTAGGTTAGGTTAGGTAAGGTTAGGTAAGGTTAGGTTAGGTTAGGTTAGGTTAGGTAAGGTTAGGTTAGGTTAGGTTAGGTTAGGTTAGGTTAGGTTAGGTTAGGTTAGGTAAGGTAAGGTTAGGTTAGGTTAGGTTATGTTAGTTTATTTTAGGTTAAGATAGGTTAGGTTAGGTTAGGTAAGGTTAGGTAAGGTTAGGTTAGGTTAGGTAAGGTTAGGTTAGGTAAGGTTAGGTTAGGTTAGGTTAGGTAAGGTTAGGTTAGGTTAGGTTAGGTTAGGTAAGGTTAGGTTAGGTTAGGTAAGGTTAGGTTAGGTTAGGTTAGGTTAGGTTAGGTTAGGTAAGGTTAGGTTAGGTTAGGTTAGGTTAGGTTAGGTTAGGTTAGGTAAGATAGGTTAGGTTAGGTTAGGTTAGGTTAGGTTAGGTTAGGTTAGGTTAGGTTAGGTAGGTTAGGTTAGGTTAGGTTAGGTTAGGTTAGGTTAGGTTAGGTTAGGTAAGGTTAGGTAAGGTTAGGTTAGGTTAGGTTAGGTTAGGTTAGGTTAGGTAAGGTAAGGTTAGGTTAGGTTAGGTTATGTTAGTTTATTTTAGGTTAAGATAGGTTAGGTTAGGTTAGGTAAGGTTAGGTAAGGTTAGGTTAGGTTAGGTAAGGTTAGGTTAGGTAAGGTTAGGTTAGGTTAGGTTAGGTAAGGTTAGGTTAGGTTAGGTTAGGTTAGGTAAGGTTAGGTTAGGTTAGGTAAGGTTAGGTTAGGTTAGGTTAGGTTAGGTTAGGTAAGGTTAGGTTAGGTTAGGTTAGGTTAGGTTAGGTTAGGTTAGGTAAGATAGGTTAGGTTAGGTTAGGTTAGGTTAGGTTAGGTTAGGTTAGGTTAGGTAAGGTTAGGTTAGGTTAGGTTAGGTTAGGTTAGGTTAGGTTAGGTTAGGTTAGGTTAGGTAAGGTTAGGTAAGGTTAGGTTAGGTTAGGTAAGGTTAGGTTAAGATAGGTTAGGTTAGGTTAGGTTAGGTAAGGTTAGGTAAGGTAAGGTTAGGTTAGGTTAGGTTAGGTTAGGTTAGGTAAGGTAAGGTTAGGTTAGGTTCGGTTCGGTCAAATAACTACGTTACTTTTAACTCCAATAAAAAAATAATTCATACATAATGAAATGGATAGCTTTATCATTTCATAAGAAAAAAATAGAGAAAATATATAAATTCAGGAAAGCTTGGCTTATTAGGGAAATCGGGCCTTGCATAGTAAGCTGAGTACTGTGTTCTGGCTACTAGGTACAACACATATATATATATGTATATACGTAAAAATGTAAATATGTATGTACGTAAACATATATATATATATATATATATATATATATATATATATATATATATATATATATATATATATATATATATATATATATATATATATATATATATATATATATATATATATATATATATATATATATATATATATATGCGAACAAGCCTGAATGGTCCCCAGAACTATATGCAACTGAAAACTCACACCCCAGAAGTGACTCGAACCCATACTGCCAGGAGCACTCTGCTGGCGTACAGAATCCCTTAACCGCTCGACCATCACGACCGGACAAAAGAGGATGGCAGCCGAGGCTATTTCCATCCCCACGCCGGCACTCGGTTGGTAATCTTGGGCATTATATTTTACCAAATCACCTCATTCTTTGGAGCACACGTGAGGAACAGAAATGCAAACAAACCTGAATGGTCCCCAGGACTATATGCAACTGAAAACTCACACCCCAGAAGTGACTCGAACCTGTGAAAGTGACTGTGAGTTTTCAGTTGCATATAGTCCTGGGGATCATTCAGGCTTGTTCGCATTTGTGTTCCTCACGTGTGCCCCAAAGAATGAGGTGATTTGATAAAATACCCTGCCCAAGATTACCAACCGAGTGCCGGCGGGGGGATGGAAATAGCCTCGGCTATCATCCTCTTTTGTCCGGTCGTGTTGGTCGAGCGGTTTAGGGATCCTGTACGCCAGCAGTGTGCTCCTGGCAGTATGGGTTCGAGTCACTTCTGGGGTGTGAGTTTTCAGTGTTATACACACACACACACACTATATATATATATATATATATATATATATATATATATATATATATATATATATATATATATATATATATATATATACCACAATACTTCTGTTCAAAACCCAACAAGAAAAGATCTTATAAATTATGGCTGTACCTATGACAAGCCGCCGGCTTCCTGTATCCATTAAGTATTCTTAAAATATTGTTGCCCCCTTCGGGTAAATTCAGGTAAATATATAACGTTAGCATTTATATATATATATATATATATATATATATATATATATATATATATATATATATATATATATATATATATATATATAATTGTACACAAAACGCGCTTGGTCAATGTTATCTCTCTTATTTTTTTATGAAGCTTAGGTATACACAACAATGTGCAATGAGGCTAGGTCGAGGACCGGGCCGCGGGGTCGGTAAGCCCCAAAATCCTCTCAAGATAACCAAGATACCCTATCCTGTGTGAAAGATTACACAGTGTAGATCATAAACTAGCAATAAGTTCATCTAATATGCCCATCTCACAGGATGGTTAGTCATACATGGATTCAGGCGAGAAATTACCAGCCTCAATACAAAAACAAATCAACTCTGACTAAAAATCAGGAGAGGGAATAATATGTTAGGCTAATATGTATTAGCCCCCACTAGCACAATCTGGGCACAGCACAAGAATATCTTCCAATATTACTGAGTGTATGAAGTAATTACAGAGCTCAAAGTACCTCATACCATTTGGTCTGAAGTCACTGATAACAGGGCAGTCACAGATATAGTGTTGGAGAGTATGTCCCAGCTCTTGTTCATAATTTACAATTTACATTTACAATTGGTATCTTCACCATTGAAGGGATTCATTACCTGTAGCCACCTGCCATAGATATAGATATCCCAGCCTAGTTCTGGCTATTACAATGTCCCACTGTCTGGTGGATGTTTTATGCTGCCCGTATATGTAATTCTCGGTTGTAAACATGTCATGGCTCTTTATACTCGTGCTTTCTGGCCATTATGTCAGTGACTGATCTTCTGTCTTAACTAATTTCCTGAAATATTGCGCCTTTTTCAACAGAGATTGGAATACCCATCTCCAACTCAATTTCAACCTAATTACATGCAGTTTTAGCTGCCTTGTCTGTGTCATCATGCTGGACAACACCTGTGAGATAGTATCCATACAAATAAAACTCTGAAACTCTTACTCTTTTCATTAATAATGTTGTTTATAATGAATGTTACAACGTTCCTAGTGTCTATTTTGCATGTTGGGTTTTTAAGGTCGTAAACAGCTGACTTTGAATCACAGAAAATTACTCCTCCACTGTTCTTCAGTGCGTTAGTGGCCAGTGGTAGTGCAGCTAAGTCTACATGTTTGGAGCTAAGCCAGTTATTGAAGAAACCTAACCTTACCTAACCTAACCTTACCTAACCTAACCTAACCTAACCTAACCTAACCTAACCTAACCTTACCTAACCTAACCTAACCTAACCTAACCTAACCTTACCTAACCTAACCTAACCTAACCTTACCTAACCTAACCTAACCTAACCTAACCTAACCTTACCTAACCTAACCTAACCTAACCTAACCTAACCTAACCTTACCTAACCTAACCTAACCTAACCTAACCTAACCTTACCTAACCTAACCTAACCTAACCTTACCTAACCTAACCTTACCTAACCTAACCTAACCTAACCTAACCTAACCTAACCTAACCTAACCTAACCTAACCTTACCTAACCTAACCTAACCTAACCTAACCTTACCAAACCGGTTCAGGAGAGGCTATGGCCGCATGGAACCATTTGAATATTGTATATGAGGGAAAATATTATAATTAGAGGAGGCGTTAATCGAGCAAAAACATTTTCAACAACAAAAGGAAAATATTCCCGGCAAAAACGTTTTTCATCATAAACGTTTCATTGCTAGAAAAATAATTTTCGTCTTCCGAACAAATACATACTTTAAAAAAAAACTTTACCTTAACAAAAGTATTAACCACGACAACAACAACAAAAAATTAATGTCAACAAAAAATTATTGAGCAAGCACATTATATGTACCTCAGACAAAATACTTTTTATCACAGCAAAACATTTGCATTAAGAACATTTTACCCAGGGGAGAAAATATACGCACCACAAGCATTTATACTAACAAAAATATTAGTTAAAGAGGATATTTACCCATTCAAAACATTTATCTTTTAAACCATTTTACCATCAAAACAGTTACCCTTCAAAATATTTACTCTTCGAACATTTACCCATTCAAAACATTTACCTTTCAAAACAGTTACCCATTAAAACATTTTCCCCACAAAACAGTTACAGATCAAAACATTAACCCATCAAAACATTAACCCATCAAAACGTTTACCCCAACAACAACATTCACACCAGAAAATAACATTTACCCAACAAAAGCATGTTCCACAATAAAGGCAATGACCACATTAGGAACATTTACCTCCCAGCAGCAAGCAATAGCCTCATTCACAAAACATACGCAATAGGCTTCGACAAAATAAAAACAAATGGTGTTTACTTACTGAGTGACTTATGCTCGATGAAGGTAAGCATAGGCACGTTCCAAACAGGCCCTCTGAGGAAGTTAACGAGGCTGTCAAGCACCCAGGAGCCATCTTCTTCACCCATCTTCGACTCCTTCAACTAGTTCTACTCACACACGCACGCAAACTCAACCCTCAAGCACTCAAACACAGTCAAACTCTCCGCTCAGACACACAAACACACACACAGGCAAGCCTTCCTTCAGGTATACAAGGACCGCCCCTGACTGTCTTCACTCTTGGTAAAATCTTGTGGTATTTCCAGTACTGTGTCCTCCTCGCCGGCCTGTGTGTGTGTGTGCGCGTGTGTCTATATCCGACTTGCGAGAGTGTAGGTATATGCACGGAGGGAAGGTGTCCGGGTGTGTGAAGAGCTCTGGAAAGCTTGACTCTGCCCAGCTTGCCTCTGGAAGCTTCACTGGAATCCTGCGCGCGCTGCCTCCCCGTTCACGTGGACTAAGCTGATTGGTTCCCAATTATTTCCGGTTCTGGAACTGGTTTTTTAAGCTTGTAAATGGTGTATATACGTATATACGTACATATATTTTATGTGTATATACGTAATAGGTGCCCTAAGTTCTTTGTATATATAAATTACGAAGCATTTAAGATCGTTAGGCTATTTAGTCATGTATTGATTGCAAATTTCAAATGAATAATTTGGTGTCGAGATGTACATGAAAAAAATGCATTCATCAATTAAAGAGGAATAATAATATTGTTTAGATTCACATAAAGCTTACCATGGAGTTAACTGTATTATATTAATTGTCAAAATGGATACAATAACGTTCCATAATTGACAATTGTCATACCACATCGTTCTCCATTAATATCAACATAATTAGATTATCTCAGCTGAATCTAAATAAAGTGACCTATCGTGCAATACTTTTACTACACAAGAAAATATGATACTTTGATTTTGAGAGCTAATTAATAATCTGTGCGGTAAAAATCAAATGATTTAGAAGAAGCCTGATATATAAGAAGGAAGATATATATATATATATATATATATATATATATATATATATATATATATATATATAACAATGAAGGTGGCGCGGCGGTTGCCATGACAACGGTGTGTTTGGCTGCCATGAGTATAGATTCCAGTGCAGATATTTGAAGTATTTCTATTGATTTTAATTTCCCCCTTTGCTAGGAACTCTCTCCGAATACAGTTGTTTAAAAGTATCTTTGTCACTAAAAGATACTTGTTATCCTCTTGACTGTATTTATAATTATTATCTAACAGGGGTACCAACATAGTCACTTAATGCGTACAAAACCTCAGAGCCACTCTATAGATTTGGGTGCTCTATCATTAGTCTAAATTGAGGTACATTAATGACGTTCACCTAATTGTGTTTATGGAGGCTGTGTTCCAGCTCTTTGGTCCCGCCAGGCGTGGAGTCTGGCCCCCACCCCGGTCCTCAATGCTCTGTGCATCACACACACGTGTATATATATATATATATATATATATATATATATATATATATATATATATATATATATATATATATATATATATATATATATATATATGTCGTACCTAGTAGCCAGAACTCACTTCTCAGCCTACTATTCAAGGCCCGATTTGCCAAATAAGCCAAGTTTTCCTGAATTAATATATTTACTATAATTTTTTTCTTATGAAATGATAAAGCAACCCTTTTCTCTATGTATGAGGTCAATTTTTTTTTATTGGAGTTAAAATTAACGTAGATATATGACCGAACCTAACCAACCCTACCTAACCTAACCTAACCTATATTTATAGGTAAGGTTAGGTTAGGTAGCCAAAAAAAGCTAGGTTAGGTTAGGTTAGGTAGGTTAGGTAGACGAAAAAACATTAATTCATGAAAACTTGGCTTATTAGGCAAATCGGGCCTTGAATAGTAGGCTGAGAAGTGCGTTCTGGCTATTAGGTACGACATATATATATATATATATATATATATATATATATATATATATATATATATATATATATATATATATATATATATATATAATGAATGGGTTCATTCTACTTTACTCTGATGAAGGCGAATTAGCCGAAAACGCTGTAAGCATTCTCTATTTTTCACTTGTAGTTATTCTGCATACCTACATACTTGGATCAGTGTTTTTGAGTCGTGATGGTCAAGCGGATTAAGGCGTCCTGTGCATACCAGTTGCGTTGCTCCTGACAGTATGGGGTTCGAGTCACTTCTGGGGTGTGAGTTTTCAGTTGCATATAGTCCTGGGGACCATTCAGGCTTATTCGCATTTGTGTTCCTCACGTGTGCCCAAAGAATGAGGTGATTTGATGAAATGCTATGCCCAAGATTACCATCCGAGTGCCGGCGGGGAAGTGCTTCAAATAGCTTCGGCTATCACTTTCTTATGTCCGGTCGTGATGGTCAAGTGGATTAAGGCGTCCTGTACATACCAGTTGCGTTGCTCCTGGCAGTATGGGTTCGAGTCACTTCTGGGGTGTGAGTTTTCAGTTATATATATATATATATATATATATATATATATATATATATATATATATATATATATATATATATATATATATATATATATATGTCGTACCTAATAGCCAGAACGCACTTCTATGCCTACTATTCAAGGCCCGATTTGCCTAATAAGCCAAGTTTTCATGAATTAATTGTTTTTCGACTACCTAACCTACCTAACCTAACCTAACCTAACGTTTTCGGCTACCTAACCTAACCTAACCGATAAAGATAGGTTAGGTTAGGTTAGGTAGGGTTGGTTAGGTTTGGTCATATATCTACGTTAATTTTAACTCCAATAAAAAAAAATTGACGTCATACATAATGAAATGGGTAGCTTTATAATTTCATAAGAAAAAAATTAGAGAAAATATACTAATTCATGAAAACTTGGCTTATTAGGCAAATCGGGCCTTGAATAGTAGGCATAGAAGTGCGTTCTGGCTACTAGGTACGACATATATATATATATATATATATATATATATATATATATATATATATATATATATATATATATATATATATATATATATATATATATATATATATATATATATATGTGTCGTACCTAGTAGCCAGAACGCACTTCTCAGCCTACAATGCAAGGCCCGATTTGCCTAATAAGCCAAGTTTTCATGAATTAGTTGTTTTTCCACTACCTAACCTACCTAACCTAACCTAACTTTTTTGGTTACCTAACCTAACCTATAAAGATAGGTTAGGTTAGGTTAGGTAGGGTTGGTTAGGTTCGGTCATATATCTACGTTAATTTTAACTCCAATAAAAAAAAATTAACCTCATACATAATGAAATGGGTAGCTTTATCATTTCAAATGAAAAAAATTAGAGAAAATATATTAATTCAGGAAAACTTGGCTTATTAGGCAAATCGGGCCTTGCATAGTAGGCTGAGAAGTGCGTTCTGGCTACTAGGTACGACATATATATATATATATATATATATATATATATATATATATATATATATATATATATATATATATATATATATATATATATATATATATATATATATATATATATATATATATATATATATATATATATATATATATATATAGATTGTATATAGAGGGAGAGGCCTAGGGGACGGACGTGTGGCGGAGGAGCTGCTGCCTTCTCAGCCATTACCCTGAGACATCTTGGCCTCACCGTACCAAGACTCAACCATATTCACCGTGAAAAAAAAGAATACACCAAGCAGACGTGGGAGTGGCCGGAAGTGCCTACTGTGTACCATCTATGTGAGAACTTATCAAAACAGGTGGGTTGGCAGTGTGGAGGCTGGAGTGAGGGGCCAGGATGGACCCTGCAGGCCTCCCATAGTGAGGGGAGGTGGGGGGTGAGTGAGGGGTGTTGTGTGGTCAGGAGTGAGGGGGGGGGGGTTACGCGGGTGCCAAACAGTGTTTTGTGTTTTTTTCTTTTTTTGAAGGTTTTGTTGAACAAGTTACGTTGTCAGCGATAATTGGCGCAACATATCTATCATATTGTGAGTACATCACACGTGCAGTGAGTCGGATTACAAGTGTGTGATTCATTCATTATTGTGCAGTGATATACGGGGTAATTATACCAGTGTTAGTGTCGCCCTGACCCCCGCCCCCACCCAGCGCCCAGGCCGGGAAGTACCTGCTCTTCCCCCTCCTTCCCACCCCACCACGTCGCCTCCCCACCCACGAGGCCACCTTGCCACCCGCCCATAGAAGCTGGGAGGCTCCCATGTGTGTCTACGCCACCCACCCACCCAATGTATACCCACATATTGTGTAGTGGGTGTATACCCACACTTTGTATAGAGGTGGTATATGTATTACCACTCATCTGAGTAGTAAGTGCCACGGCCAGCTGATCATCCCCCAGCCTCCAACCGCCGCCCACCCTCCAGTCTCCACCCGCCGTCCACCCTCCCGCCCAGCGCCCGCCCAGCGCCCGCCCATGTCGCAGCTCTCAACAGATAGCCAGGCTTCTCCAAGCCAAGATGAGCCATCAAGCAGGGATAGACACGGTAGATGTCAGACGTGTGACAGGGTATGCTATATCCGGTTGAGGGACGATAATGTGCGCATTCATTCCAACAACGGAGTCAGGTGTTTGGGTTCTGGGCGCCCTCCCAGGGAGAACACCAATCAACAGCCCACACCGCCCGTAAGGCAAAACAACATCCCTAAAGCAGCCCGCCCCCATGCAGCAGCCAAATTATCCGCCCTCCTGAGAAAGGTCAACGACTCTCCTGGAACGACCCAAGCATGGCACAACCTCCTAATGTTTGGCAACATATGTCTAGCCACCCCTGCAAGGAGAGACAAAACCTTAGCTGCCTCAGTCATCAAAGCTATAAATGATTTTCCCAGGGAGGACAACCAGGTGCGCCTTCCCACTCGCGCGAGAAACACCCACGGCAGGAAGAGCAACAGTGGTGTATCCGAGACATAAAAAATCAGAGCATCAGTCACCAAGAAAATAGAAGAAGGAAACACTATTGGCGCAATAAGAGTCATCACCAGTGAGGACTCAATTGCTGACAGAGATGCCGCAACAGCTCAAGCCCTAAGGGAGAAACACCCACCCAGGGCTCCACGTGAGGACGACATTGTACAAGTGGGGGCTACTGGAGCAGAACCTCTCTGGGTGGCCGAATCTGTGGTCCATAAAGCAGCCTTGTCCTTCCCAACAGGATCAGCAGGTGGGTTCACAGGACTAAAACCCAACCACATCAAGCAAATGCTCAACCCTGCACTGGGTGACATTGCACAGGGCCTCTTGGTGGAACTAACCAGATTCACCAACACATGTCTAGCTGGCAACATACCAGAGACCATAAGACCTATCTTTTTTGGAGCATCTCTCTGTGCTCTAAAGAAAAAGGATGGAGGGATCAGACCAATAGCTGTGGGCAATTCCCTCCGGCGTCTCGTCGCAAAGGCTGCTGCAAGAACAGTTAGTGAGGCAGCGGCCAACATGCTAAAGCCAAAACAGCTCGGGTTCGGCATTCCACAAGGGTGCGAGGCGGCAGCTCACGCAGCTCGAGCTTTCGTCGCTAACATCACAGACGAAAAGGCCCTTATCAAGCTAGATTTAAAAAATGCCTTCAATTTGGTGCGGAGGGATGCTGTACTCCGTGCGGTTCATCGTCATTTCCCTTCCCTCTACCCTTTTGTACATTCATGCTACAGTATGGATCTAAAGCTACTTTTTGGCGAATATGAAATTGACTCGCGAGAAGGCGTCCAACAGGGTGACCCCCTTGCTCCTCTCCTTTTCTGCTTAGTCATCAAACAAGTCACAGAAGTCCTGTCCAGCGAGCTTAACATCTGGTTCTTGGATGATGGTACCCTAGCTGGTTCCCAAGACTCCCTCCTGGAGGACATCAGAAAAATCCAGGAGCAAGGTGCAGTTTTAGGCCTCACCCTGAACCCTTCTAAATGTGAAATAATATGTTCCAACCAGGGCATCGTAGAGAGAATAGAGGGTCTTCTGCCAAATATCCATATAACTAAACCTGAAGACAGCACACTCCTAGGAGCTCCCCTGGGGTTGAAAGCCATCGATGAGGTCCTTGATAAGAAAATCGCCGACCTTAAGAGGATGGATGGGAGGATTGAGGATATTGATGCTCATGATGCACTCTACCTCATCACCAGATGTCTGTCCCTCCCCAGGTTAACCTACTTTCTGAGGTGTTCACCATCCTACAGTAGCCAAAAACTAGGTGAGTATGACCTGTTACTGAAATCAATGCTAGAAAAAGCCCTCAACCTCTCTCTTGATGACCTACAGTGGAAACAAGCCTCTCTTCCCGTAAGACTTGGGGGCCTCGGAGTTCGAACAGCAACGCAAATCGCTGTACCAGCCTTCCTGTCCTCCTCCTCGGCATCCGACGACCTTGTGAAGGAAATTCTACCTGCCTACTTACATCAGCTGGCAGGTGTACACGATCCCAATTTTACACGCTGTGCCACAGAGTGGGCCTCTCGTGCAGGCCCATCACCTCAACCACCATCCTCAAAAGCCCACAAGCAATCCAGCTGGGATGGCCCCATTGTAGACCAAGTTGCTGCAGAGTGCCTGGGTGCTGCAACAACACAACACGACATTGCTCGCCTCACAGCAGTAGCAGCCCCACATGCAGGGGATTTCCTGTTAGCAACCCCAATGTCGGCAACTGGCACACGTCTCACACCACACGCCCTCCGAATTGCTGTGGCCCTCCGCCTTGCTGCCCCAATCCACACCAGATATAGGTGTATTTGCGGCGAGGTGGTGGCTGACAGGTACGGCCACCATGGCCTACTCTGCCAAAGCACAGGGGGATGGCACTCGAGGCACAGTGAAGTTAACGACATCATCAAGAGGAGCCTCACCACAGCTGGATGCCCAGCTGAAAGAGAGCCCCGTTACCTAACGCCCCGTAACTCTGATGCTCTTATTGGTCGCCCGGATGGTATCACAGTGAACCCCTGGAAGAATGGCAAGCAGTTGGTATGGGACTACACGTGCGTATCAACCCTGGCTAACACCTACATTGACCTCAGTGTTGCACAACCAGGTGGCGCTGCCACCCACAGGGAAGCAGCCAAATCCCGTAAGTACAGAGAACTGGATCACCACTACAATTTTGTCCCCATTGCTTCTGAGACACTCGGCGCCTGGGGTAAGAGTGCTACCAGTTTTTTTTAAGGAACTGGGTTCTAGGCTCATTGAAACAACAAGGGACCCTAGAGCTGCCAGCTTCCTTTTCCAGCGCCTCAGCGTGGCGATACAGAGGGGAAATGCACACTGCATTCAGGGTTCCTGCCCGCCATCTGAGGAGCTGGAGGAACTCGACAACTTATGATAATCATCTTTGTACCCTATATGTAACTCCTTTTTTGTAACAAAGTTTAAATAAAACAAATATATATGTGTACATACAAAAGAATGGGGGTGGTAGGAGAAGATAATATTAGTGTTCAGTGAGAAACCACAAGGTCTTCTCTGAATACTCCTTATTTTCTTCTCCGAGGCTATGGGTCCCCACATTGGCACCAGAGGTGGTACCCTCACAAACTTTATATATATATATATATATATATATATATATATATATATATATATATATATATATATATATATATATATATATATATATATATATATATAACTTATAATAACGATTCAATTTTTTTATAGTTTAATGTAAATGGAAAAAGGTCCCTGATACATGTTATGAGCTGAGTACTGGGCACTGGGCACTGGGTATAAGGACAAGACTGCAAAGTCTCTATTTCATTGCCCAAATAACAGCTGCAAGTTGCAACATCTGCCCAGCTTTGGGTTTGAACAAGCATATTTTATTGAACAAGTATATTTTATACTCTGGTATTGTGGACACAGCATTCTCTTAGTAACTTTGTGCTATAAACATAATAACTGGAGAAGGTTGCTTTTCTCATGCTACATGATTGTGTTTTGAAGATATATTGTGCATCTTTTTTGTTTGCAAGTTATCTCTGAACTTCTTGATCTGTGTGACGGTGTTGAATATTTTTGGGCAGTTCTTCTGTGAGGTTTTGTCAACGATCGAGCCATCTCCGGGGTGCAGGGGTGCCCCCTTACTGAGCTTGTTCCAAAGGTGGATTGCAACAGTATTTTGAGGCCAAGTCTTAGAACTGCCACCACCAGATACGAAGAACTCTTCCCATTGACTCCAGTAGATCGGGTAGAAGGTGGAGGGAGCTGTGGAAACATTACTACCATGAGCGGCCGGATATATTAGCAGTAAGACTGAACGGTAAACATGTACTATACCAAGTGTGCTATCAACTATTTCCCAACAACAGGGAAACCATTATTAATGTCTTGCATGACTATATGTCAGCGATGTTTGCATGCACTTCGAGGTCCAAGCCCCATAGTGAATGAGGGTTACGTCCACTTACCCAATATTACGAGATCCTTGCACTTGTGAATGTCAGCAATGTTCTGGATGTTGCAAGCCTTCCTCACCACCCTCTGGAAGACTCCTGGACCGTTATAGGCCCAAACATTGCCCCGAAAGTGTTCCGTCAGCTCCCTGATGGCCTCTTCACACAGCCAGTGATCCTTAGGGAGTCTGAGGAGATATTTCATGGATTTAAAACAGGAACCTGCAGAGATCTGTCAAGATCTTCATAATTAATACCATTATATACACAAATTTACAGATTTGCATACCTCTAAATGTTAACAAGTGGCTCATCTTGATGAGCCACTTGACGACGTTTCAGTACGTCCTGAATCATTATCAAGTCGACTGTCACAACCAACTTGATAATGATCCAAGACGGAGCGAAACGTCGTCATCTCCTCATCTTCTGGTGTGTGGTTTGCTAGTATTATATCATTACACACTTGTGTGATGTCCATGGAATACGTGGCACTTTGAGGCTATAAGGGTAGTAACAGAAGGCTGATACCTTATATCATATATTCCAACCATTAACCCTACAAAGAAATATTAAAATATGTCGCAGATGTTTTGATGTTATAAAAACCTGGAGGGATGAACAACATAACTACTTATTTCGAATACGAACTTGAAGGCACTGTTGGTGAGGTAGTCCAAGCGTTCACTTCCAACCCATGACTCGCCGGAAGGCAAGGGTGCCATTGTCCACACGTCCAAGTCAAGGTAAATGCCTCCCACAGAGCACACCACACCAAGACGTAGCGCATCCGACAAATTGATTCCAGGCCAGTCTGTTGAGACAGAGACTTGTAAAACTAGTGCTAACTCTAGCGTAGTCTGTTGAGACAGAGACGTGTAAAACTACTGCTAACTCTAGTGTAGTCTGTTGAGACAGAGACGTGTAAAACTACTGCTAACTCTAGCGTAGTCTGTTGAGACAGAGACGTGTAAAACTACTGCTAACTCTAGCGTAGTCTGTCGAGACAGACGTGTAAAACTACTGCTAACTCTAGCGTAGTCTGTTGAGACAGACGTGTAAAACTAGTGCTAACTCTAACGTAGTCTGTTGAGACAGACGTGTAAAACTACTGCTAACTCAAGCGTAGTCTGTTAAGACAGAGACGTATAAACTACCGCTAACTCTAGCGTAGTCTGTTGAGACAGAGACGTATAAACTACCGCTAACTCTAGCGTAGTCTGTTGAGACAGAGACGTATAAACTACCGCTAACTCTAGCATAGTCTGCTGAAACAGACATACATAATTCTAACAGGGAGAGGAAGCCTGTGTATATATACGATATATACCTTAGGCTTGTATTAAGGTCCCTTCCCCAAGGTTGAATTACTGACTTGAGTCAGGATGCAACCCACAACAGTTGCATAACTCCCGGGAGCCTCTTTACTGTTAGGAGAACAAGTGTTAAGTGAAAGGAAACGAACCCATTTCTGTCTCGCCTGGGAATTGAACCCAGGATCCCCTATTGTGGGTCTAGAACGAAGCCAGCTATACCACAACCCCCCCCCCCCCCACACCACACCTCCTTCCATCAATAAACACACAATAGCCTGGGGTGTTGGCTATACATATGTAAAACTAATTGGTCTGTTGGAGATACATATGTAAGATTAATTGGTCTGTTGGAGATACATATGTAAGATTAATTGGTCTGTTGGAGATACATATGTAAGATTAATTGGTCTGTTTGAGATACATATGTAAGATTAATTGGTCTGTTGGAGATACATATGTAAGATTAATTGGTCTGTTGGAGATACATATGTAAGATTAATTGGTCTGTTGGAGATACATATGTAAGATTAATTGGTCTGTTGGAGATACATATGTAAGATTAATTGGTCTGTTGGAGATACATATGTAAGATTAATTGGTCTGTTGAAGATACTTATGTAAGAATAATTGGTCTGTTGGAGATACATATGTAAGATTAATTGGTCTGTTGGAGATACATATGTAAGATTAATTGGTCTGTTGGAGATACATATGTAAGATTAATTGGTCTGTTGGAGATACTTATGTAAGAATAATTGGTTTGTTGGACACATGTAGAATTAATGTTAAAAAGATGGGGTTCTGAGGTTCTTAACTTTCAGAAATAAAGAGCTAACAGCCAATGTCCTGGGAATAAAAACTATTATTTGTTTAGCCTCTACTGTTCTTATCTTCTATTATCTTCTACCGGGAAATTTCTGCAAGCATTCCTGATAGCTAAGATTTGTTGGGAATAAGATATGCATGTGCTTTGTTTTGATATATATAAATACTCTAATATAAGCATATACACTATGTTCAAAATATGTAATATAAGCATATACACTATGTTCAAAATATGTAATATAAGCATATACACTATGTTCAAAATATGTAATATAAGCATATACACTATGTTCAAAATATGTAATATAAGCATATATACACCAGGTTCAAAATGTGTAATATAAGCATATACACTATGTTCAAAATGTGTAATATAAGCATATACACTATGTTCAAAATATGTAATATAAGCATATATACACCAGGTTCAAAATGTGTAATATAAGCATATACAGTATGTTCAAAATATGTAATATAAGCATATACAGTATGTTCAAAATATGTAATATAAGCATATATACACTATGTTCAAAATGTGTAATATACTGTACATATAGAGTATTAGGGTGAGCTGTAATATCACCTCATACCTGATCCATTACCTCATACCAACACTACTGTATCACCGCCCCCTCATACCAACACTACTGTATCACCGCCCCTCATACCAACACTACTGTATCACCGCCCCCTCATACCAACACTACTGTATCACCGCCCCTCATACCAACACTACTGTATCACCGCCCCTCATACCAACACTACTGTATCACCGCCCCCTCATACCAACACTACTGTATCACCGCCCCCTCATACCAACACTACTGTATCACCGCCCCTCATACCAACACTACTGTATCACCGCCCCCTCATACCAACACTACTGTATCACCGCCCCCTCATACCAACACTGCTGTATCACCGCCCCCTCATACCAACACTACTGTATCACCGCCCCTCATACCAACACTACTGTATCACCGCCCCCTCATACCAACACTACTGTATCACCGCCCCCTCATACCAACACTACTGTATCATCGCCCCCTCATACCAACACTACTGTATCACCGCCCCCTCATACCAACACTACTGTATCACCGCCCCCTCATACCAACACTACTGTATCACCGCCCCCTCATACCAACACTACTGTATCACCGCCCCCTCATACCAACACTACTGTATCACCGCCCCTCATACCAACACTACTGTATCACCGCCCCCTCATACCAACACTACTGTATCACCGCCCCTCATACCAACACTACTGTATCACCGCCCCCTCATACCAACACTACTGTATCACCGCCCCTCATACCAACACTACTGTATCACCGCCCCCTCATACCAACACTACTGTATCACCGCCCCCTCATACCAACACTACTGTATCACCGCCCCTCATACCAACACTACTGTATCACCGCCCCCTCATACCAACACTACTGTATCACCGCCCCCTCATACCAACACTACTGTATCACCGCCCCCTCATACCAACACTACTGTATCACCGCCCCCTCATACCAACACTACTGTATCACCGCCCCCTCATACCAACACTACTGTATCACCGCCCCTCATACCAACACTACTGTATCACCGCCCCCTCATACCAACACTACTGTATCACCGCCCCCTCATACCAACACTACTGTATCACCGCCCCTCATACCAACACTACTGTATCACCGCCCCCTCATACCAACACTACTGTATCACCGCCCCCTCATACCAACACTACTGTATCACCGCCCCCTCATACCAACACTACTGTATCACCGCCCCCTCATACCAACACTACTGTATCACCGCCCCCTCATACCAACACTACTGTATCACCGCCCCCTCATACCAACACTACTGTATCACCGCCCCCTCATACCAACACTACTGTATCACCGCCCCCTCATACCAACACTACTGTATCACCGCCCCTCATACCAACACTACTGTATCACCGCCCCCTCATACCAACACTACTGTATCACCGCCCCCTCATACCAACACTACTGTATCACCGCCCCCTCATACCAACACTACTGTATCACCGCCCCCTCATACCAACACTACTGTATCACCGCCCCCTCATACCAACACTACTGTATCACCGCCCCCTCATACCAACACTACTGTATCACCGCCCCCTCATACCAACACTACTGTATCACCGCCCTCTCATACCAACACTACTGTATCACCGCCCCCTCATACCAACACTACTGTATCACCGCCCCCTCATACCAACACTACTGTATCACCGCCCCCTCATACCAACACTACTGTATCACCGCCCCCTCATACCAACACTACTGTATCACCGCCCCCTCATACCAACACTACTGTATCACCGCCCCTCATACCAACACTACTGTATCACCGCCCCCTCATACCAACACTACTGTATCACCGCCCCCTCATACCAACACTACTGTATCATCGCCCCCTCATACCAACACTACTGTATCACCGCCCCCTCATACCAACACTACTGTATCACCGCCCCCTCATACCAACACTACTGTATCACCGCCCCCTCATACCAACACTACTGTATCACCGCCCCCTCATACCAACACCATCACAATGGTCAAGTATTTATTTACCACGTGACCCACAAACTCAACATCCGAGTATCATTGCCATTCACCACACTCATCGTCACCCTTCCACCTACCGCTCCACGTCACCCTTCCACCTACCGCTCCTCGTCACCCTTCCACCTACTGCTCCACGTCACCCTTCCACTCCTCGTCACCCTTCCACCTACTGCTCCACGTCACCCTTCCACTCCTCGTCACCCTTCCACCTACTGCTCCACGTCACCCTTCCACCTACTGCTCCTCGTCACCCTTCCACCTACCGCTCCACGTCACCCTTCCACCTACCGCTCCACGTCACCCTTCCACTTACCACTCCATGTCACCCTTCCACCTACCGCTCCACGTCACCCTTCCACCTACCGCTCCACGTCACCCTTCCACCTACCACTCCATGTCACCCTTCCACCTACCGCTCCACGTCACCCTTCCACCTACCACTCCATGTCACCCTTCCACCTACCGCTCCACGTCACTCTTCCACCTACCACTCCAAGTCACCCTTCCACCTACCGCTCCTCGTCACCCTTCCACCTACCACTCCAAGTCACCCTTCTACTTACTGCTCCACGTCACCCTTCCACCTACCGCTCTTTGTCCACTCCATCCCTCGGAGCCACTTGCCGAGTCGTCCTGTACCCTCCATGATGGTGTCAACATCCAGCCTGGAGATGTGGATGTTGCTGTAGGAGGCGAGGGCGTGGATGATGGCATCTGTGCCCCCTACGTGGGTGGACGTGAGGGCTAGGTGGACCTGGTGGTCGGGGTGGTGGACTGCTGCGCTCTCTACTGCACACGCCTGTCATGTTATTGAAGAAAATATTATTGAGCACCTGTGAAGAGAGGGTAGACTGAATGCTAATGTTTGGGGGGATTAATTAGATTGGTAATACACGTGTTACTCGGTGAGTCAGGTTGTGCATTGGAGGCACCGAGTAACACGGTGCCAACCAACACCACCACCAGACACCAACCAACACCACCACCAGACACCAACCAACACCACCACCAAACACCAACCATCACCACCACCAGACACCAACCAACACCACCACCAGACACCAACCAACACCACCACCAGACACCAACCAACACCACCACCAGACACCAACCAACACCACCACCAGACACCAACCAACACCACCACCAGACACCAACCAACACCACCACCAGACACCAACCATCACCACCACCAGACACCAATCAACACCACCACCAGACACCAACCAACACCACCACCAGACACCAACCAACACCACCACCAAACACCAACCACCACCACCACCAGACACACACCACCACCACCAGACACCAACCAACACCACCACCAGACCAGAACACCACCACCAGACACCAACCACCCACCACCAGACACCAACCAACACCACCACCAGACACCAACCAACACCACCACCAGACACCAACCAACACCACCACCAGACACCAACCACCACCACCACCAGACACCAACCAACACCACCACCAGACACCAACCAACACCACCACCAGACACCAACCAACACCACCACCAGACACCAACCAACACCACCACCAGACACCAACCACCACCACCACCAGACACCAACCAACACCACCACCAGACACCAACCATCCACCACCACCACCAGACACCAACCAACACCACCACCACCACCAGACACCAACCAACACCACCACCACCACCAGACACCAACCAACACCACCCACCACCAGACACCAACCAACACCACCACCAGACACCAACCAACACCACCACCACCACCAGACACCAACCACCACCAGACACCACCACCACCAGACACCAACCAACACCACCAGACACCACCACACCACCACCAGACACCAACCACACCACCACCAGACACCAACCAACACCACCACCAGACACCAACCAACACCACCACCAGACACCAACCATCACCACCACCAGACACCAACCAACACCACCACCAGACACCAACCAACACCACCACCAGACACCAACCAACACCACCACCAGACACCAACCAACACCACCACCAGACACCAACCAACACCACCACCAGACACCAACCAACCACCACCACCCAGACACCAACCAACCACCACCACCAGACACCAACCATCACCACCACCAGACACCAACCATCACCACCACCAGACACCAACCATCACCACCAGACACCACCACCAGACAGACACCAACACCACCACCAGACACCAACCATCACCACCACCAGACACCAACCATCACCACCACCAGACACCAACCATCACCACCACCAGACACCAACCATCACCACCACCAGACACCAACCATCACCACCACCAGACACCAACCATCACCACCACCAGACACCAACCATCACCACCACCAGACACCAACCAACACCACCACCAGACACCAACCACCACCACCACCAGACACCAACCATCACCACCACCAGACACCAACCATCACCACCACCAGACACCAACCATCACCACCACCAGACACCAACCATCACCACCACCACCACCAGACACCAACCAACACCACCACCAGACACCAACCATCACCACCACCAGACACCAACCATCACCACCACCAGACACCAACCACCACCACCACCACCACCAGACACCAACCAACACCACCACCAGACACCAAACACCACCAACCAACACCACCACCAGACACCAACCAACACCACCACCAGACACCAACCAACACCACCACCAGACACCAACCAACACCACCACCAGACACCAACCAACACCAACCAACACCACCACCAGACACCAAACACCACCAACCAACACCACCACCAGACACCAACCAACACCACCACCAGACACCAACCAACACCACCACCAGACACCAACCAACACCACCACCAGACACCAACCACCACCACCACCAGACACCAACCATCACCACCACCACCACCAGACACCAACCAACACCACCACCAGACACCAACCATCACCACCACCAGACACCAACCATCACCACCACCACCACCAGACACCAACCAACACCCCCACCAGACACCACCATCACCACCACCAGACACCAACCACCACCACCACCAGACACCAACCATCACCACCACCACCACCAACCAACACCACCACCACCAGACACCAACCATCACCACCACCACCACCAGACACCAACCAACACCACCACCAGACACCAACCAACACCACCACCAGACACCAACCAACACCACCACCAGACACCAACCAACACCACCACCAGACACCAACCAACCACCCACCACCAGACACCACCAGACACCAACCAACACCACCACCAGACACCAACCAACACCACCACCAGACACCAACCAACACCACCACCAGACACCAACCAACACCACCACCAGACACCAACCAACACCACCACCAGACACCAACCATCACCACCACCAGACACCAACCATCACCACCACCAGACACCAACCATCACCACCACCAGACACCAACCATCACCACCACCAGACACCAACCACCACCACCACCAGACACCAACCATCACCACCACCACCACCAGACACCAACCAAAACCACCACCAAACACCAACCATCACCACCACCAGACACCAACCAACACCACCACCAGACACCAACCAACACCACCACCAGACACCAACCAACACCACCACCAGACACCAACCAACACCACCACCAGACACCAACCAACACCACCACCAGACACCAACCAATACCCCCACCAGACACCAACCAACACCACCACCAGACACCAACCATCACCACCACCACCAACACCAACACCACCAGACACCAACCACCACCACCACCACCAACCATCACCACCACCAGACACCAACCATCACCACCACCAGACACCAACCATCACCACCACCAGACACCAACCAACACCACCACCAGACACCAACCAACACCACCACCAGACACCACCACCAGACACCACCAACACCACCACCAGACACCAACCAACCACCACCACCAGACACCAAACACCACCAACCAACACCAACACCAGACACCAGACACCACCACCAGACACCAAACACCACCACCCAACGCCACCACCAGACACCAACCAACACCACCACCAGACACCAACCAACACCACCACCAGACACCAACCAACACCACCACCAGACACCAACCATCACCACCACCAGACACCAACCATCACCACCACCAGACACCAACCAACACCACCACCAGACACCAACCATCACCACCACCAGACACCAACCAACACCACCACCAGACACCAACCAACACCACCACCAGACACCAACCAATACCCCCACCAGACACCAACCATCACCACCACCAAACACCAACCAACACCGCTCCACCCACCATCTTAGCATTAAGGGCCGACGAACACATTGTCTCCAGAAAGAAGATGTTCTTGTCGCTGGAAGAAGCTGTGAAATTGGGCAGCCTGACGGGGAAGGGCGGGGTGGTGGTGTTGGCCTGTAGGGTGCAGGCCGCCGCCCGCCACCCACCCTCGCCCTCCCCGCCCTCCACGCCCATCACTGCGTCTGGAGCGAAGTAGTCTTCGTAGTCGACCACCACCGCTGGAAGACTCAGGTAAGTCCTGCCGTCTGTCGTAAATAATGTATAGTTATAACAATAACCAATTTCTGCATAAAGTTCAGGCATGTGAACCCATGACTGTGTGAGACTGAACTCATGTCCTGAGGACCTGCTTTCATTTGAACCAAGAGTAGGCCTATACTGCTTACTTTAGCAATCATTGAAGCAAGGGTAGGCCTATACAGCTTACTTTAGCTATCAATGAAGGAAGGGTAGGCCTATACAGCTTACTTTAGCAATCAATGAAGGAAGGGTAGGCCTATACAGCTTACGTCAATGAAGTAGGTTAGGCCTATGCAGCCTACTTTAACTATCAATGAAGGCATATACAACTTACTTTAACCAATAATTTGATTCACACTGGGAGCCAAGATTCACACTGGGAGCCAAGATTCACACTGGGAGCCAAGATTCACACTGGGAGTCAAGATTCACACTGGGAGCCAAGATTCACACTGGTAACCAAGATTCACACTGGGAGCCAAGATTCACACTTGGAGCCAAGATTCACACTGGGAGCCAAGATTCACACTGGGAGCCAAGATTCACACTGGTAACCAAGATTCACACTGGGAGCCAAGATTCACACTGGGAGCCAAGATTCACACTGGGAACCAAGATTCACACTGGGAGCCAAGATTCACACTGGGAGCCAAGATTCACACTGGGAGCCAAGTATCAATAACTTTTGTCTAATCAAAGCCTATTGGAAAGCTTTCTAACTTTAGCCAAAAGCCGGAAGCTTAATCTGGCTTTATGAACTTTACCATAAGTCAAGATAAATTACAATATTACTCAGGAACTCAAGTGTTCCAGTTATTACTCACCAGGTAACATGTTCACAGGACTCTGTGATGTTGAGACATACTCACATGCGTATGTCTGTCCCTGAGACATACTCACATGAGTATGTCTGTCACTGAGACATACTCACATGAGTATGTCTGTCCCTGAGACATACTCACATGAGTATGTCTGTCCCTGAGACATACTCACATGAGAATGTCTGTCCCTGAGACATACTCACATGAGAATGTCTGTCCCTGAGACATACTCACATGAGAATGTCTGTCCCTGAGACATACTCACATGAGAATGTCTGTCCCTGAGACATACTCACATGAGAATGTCTGTCCCTGAGACATACTCACATGAGTATGTCTGTCCCTGAGACATATTCAGGAGGCCACACTCACCAATCAGGATCTGGATCACCAGCAGGAGAAGCACCAGGGCGGCCAGACTGCCGCCCACCACCGCCCGCGAGCACACCCGCACCCGCACCATGCTGCACACGCCCATGCCACGCCCACAGCAACGCCCACCACACCCGCCTTCCAGGTTTTGACGCTGGCCCCCCCTGTGGGTTACTCCACTCGAATACACTTGTTATCTCCACTCGAGAATCGAGTGAAAAAAATCCGGAGGGGACAATGCTCTGCGGCTCAAGTGAACCAGAGGGCTAATTCCTAGATCAGTAATTTTCAACGAGGTTTCTGCAAGAAATATATAGCAAAGTAACAAAAAAAAGTAAATTTTCATCATTCAAATATAATTGTAATACAAAAAAATATCTTCAGCCCACTCTCACTGGTGATGCACTTCACGACACTGGAAGACAGAAGAGTAAAGGGAGACATGATCACTACCTACAAAATTCTCAGAGGACTTGACAAGGTAGGTAAGGATTAGCTCTTTAACACGGGCGGGATAGGAACAAGGGGACACAGGTGGAAACTGAGTACCCACATGACCCACTGGGACGTTAGAAAGAACTTTTTCCGCGCAGAGTAGTTAACAGTTGGAATGTATTAGGCAGTGATGTGGTGGAGGCTGACTCCATACAAAGTTTCAAATGTAGATATGATAGAGCCCAATAGGCTCAGGAATCTGACCATCAGTTGATTGACAGTTGAGAGGCGGGACCAAAGAGCCAGAGCTCAACCCCCGCAAGCACAACTAGGTGAGTACTACATGACCCTAGAGCCCTAGGTGGGGACCTTGAAAAGCCTAAGTATAGCCATAAAATATCCTCAAACACACACACACACACACACACACACAATCAAGCTTAACAAACCTCATAACTCCTCCACGTGGAATGTGAAAAAATCGCGAAATTTAGAGATAACACCATTGATAGTGTCCAAGAATTGTGTAAGTACTTAATTCATAATGATGTGCTGCCAGGAATCTTAGCCAAGTATCCAAAATTTGCTTATTGTAGGTGCAGCCTGTACATGACTGTAAAGCTGCCGCCCAGTTGGGTGGGTGTGCAGCACATGACTGTAAAGCTGCCGCCCAGTTGGGTGGGTGTGGAGTACATGACTGTAAAGCTGCCGCCCAGTTGGGTGGGTGTGGAGCACATGACTGTAAAGCTGCCGCCCAGTTGGGTGGGTGTGGAATACATGACTGTAAAGCTGCCGCCCAGTTGGGTGGGTGTGGAGCACATGACTGTAAAGCTGCCTCCCAGTTGGGTGGGTGTGGAATACATGACTGTAAAGCTGCCGCCCAGTTGGGTGGGTGTGGAGCACATGACTGTAAAGCTGCCTCCCAGTTGGGTGGGTGTGGAGCACATGACTGTAAAGCTGCCGCCCAGTTGGGTGGGTGTGGAGCACATGACTGTAAAGCTGCCGCCCAGTTGGGTGGGTGTGGAGCACATGACTGAAGCTGCCGCCCAGTTGGGTGGGTGTGGAGCACATGACTGAAGCTGCCGCCCAGTTGGGTGGGTGTGGAGCACATGACTGTAAAGCTGCCGCCCAGTTGGGTGGGTGTGGAGCACATGACTGTAAAGCTGCCGCCCAGTTGGGTGGGTGTGGAGCACATGACTGTAAAGCTGCCGCCCAGTTGGGTGGGTGTGGAGCACATGACTGTAAAGCTGCCGCCCAGTTGGGTGGGTGTGGAGCACATGACTATAAAGCTGCCGCCCAGTTGGGTGGGTGTGGAGCACATGACTGTAAAGCTGCCGCCCAGTTGGGTGGGTGTGGAGCACATGACAGTAAAGCTGCCGCCCAGTTGGGTGGGTGTGGAGCACATGACTATAAAGCTGCCGCCCAGTTGGGTGGGTGTGGAGCACATGACTGTAAAGCTGCCGCCCAGTTGGGTGGGTGTGGAGCACAAGACTGTAAAGCTGCTGCCCAGTTGGGTGGGTGTGGAGCACATGACTGTAAAGCTGCCGCCCAGTTGGGTGGGTGTGCAGCACATGACTGTAAAGCTGCCGCCCAGTTGGGTGGGTGTGGAGCACATGACTGTAAAGCTGCCGCCCAGTTGGGTGGGTGTGGAGCACAAGACTGTAAAGCTGCCGCCCAGTTGGGTGGGTGTGGTGCACATGACTGTAAAGCTGCCGCCCAGTTGGGTGGGTGTGGAGCACATGACTATAAAGCTGCCGCCCAGTTGGGTGGGTGTGGGGCACATGACTGTAAAGCTGCCGCCCAGTTGGGTGGGTGTGGAGCACATGACTGTAAAGCTGCCGCCCAGTTGGGTGGGTGTGGAGCACATGACTGTAAAGCTGCCGCCCAGTTGGGTGGGTGTGGAGCACATGACTGTAAAGCTGCCGCCCAGTTGGGTGGGTGTGGAGCACATGACTGTAAAGCTGCCGCCCAGTTGGGTGGGTGTGGGGCACATGACTGTAAAGCTGCCGCCCAGTTGGGTGGGTGTGGAGCACATGACTGTAAAGCTGCCGCCCAGTTGGGTGGGTGTGGGGCACATGACTGTAAAGCTGCCGCCCAGTTGGGTGGGTGTGGAGCACATGACTGTAAAGCTGCCGCCCAGTTGGGTGGGTGTGGAGCACATGACTGTAAAGCTGCCGCCCAGTTGGGTGGGTGTGGAGCACCTGACTGTAAAGCTGCCGCCCAGTTGGGTGGGTGTGGAGCACATGACAGTAAAGCTGCCGCCCAGTTGGGTGGGTGTGGAGCACATGACTGTAAAGCTGCCGCCCAGTTGGGTGGGTGTGGGGCACATGACTGTAAAGCTGCCGCCCAGTTGGGTGGGTGTGGAGCACATGACTGTAAAGCTGCCGCCCAGTTGGGTGGGTGTGGAGCACATGACTGTAAAGCTGCCGCCCAGTTGGGTGGGTGTGGAGCACATGACTGTAAAGCTGCCGCCCAGTTGGGTGGGTGTGGAGCACATGACTGTAAAGCTGCCGCCCAGTTGGGTGGGTGTGGAGCACATGACTGTAAAGCTGCCGCCCAGTTGGGTGGGTGTGGAGCAAGACTAGTAACTGTGTGACTCACCATAGATGTAAAGTGCCTTGTATAGTGACTGTTGTGAGCCTCTTGTTGAATCACTTGTGACACAAAGATTATTGATGTGTGTATTTGTGTGGGTGATTAAATATGTATGTGTGTGTGTATGCATATATGTATATGTATGTGTGTGTGTATGCATATATGTATATGTATGTGTGTGTGTATGCATATATGTATATGTATGTGTGTGTGTATGCATATATGTATATGTATATATGTATGCAACAATGATCACAAAAACACTGATCCAAGTATGCAGAATAACCACATATGAAAAATAGAAAATGCTTAACGCGTCTTAACATTCTACTTTGCTCTGATGAAGGCGAATTAGCCGAAAACGCGTTAAGCATTTTCTATTTTTCATATGTGGTTATTCTGCGTATATATGTATATATGTGTACATGTATGTATGAGTATGTGTTCGAGTATATATAATATTATTAATTTTGTAATTAGCGTCAAAAGATTGTTATTTGCTTATCTAAACGAACTAGAGGGTTCAGTTCCTGAACCGATTATGTGCCTCTGTAACCCTTTACACCAACGCCCACAGGATGGGTATGGGGTGTATAATAAAAAAAATTGAATTGTAGAACAAACACGTGTGCAAGCCTTGTAGCACAGTCGAGAACAACAAGGAAGTAGAACAGCCTCGAGGAACACCGGTCCTGCTCCATTCATGTGGTGTAGGACCGTGGCGTAGTGGTAAGACACTCGCCTGGCGTTCCGAGAGAGCTTTGTACTGAGTTCGTATCCTGGCCTGAAAGGATTTACTGGGCACAAATCCTTAACTGTAGCTTCTCTCCAACAGTAAAATGGGTATTTGGTTGTAAAATCGATTCTTCGTGGGGGTCGTATTCCAGGGACCATAGGATTAAGGACTTGCCCGAAATGCTACGCGTACTAGTGGCTGTACAAGAATGTAAGAACTCTTGTATATTTATAAATAAAATAAAAATATGTTCCAACACCAGTTAGCTAGTCGAGTTCATTTATTATGCACCCTATACTCATCCTGTGGGCAGTAGTGGAAAGGGTTACAGGGGCACATAATGGGCTCAGGGACTGAACCCCACAATTCAGTTCAGATTCAGATGTTTATTCAGGTAAGGTATATACATACAAGTGATGTTACATTAATAGATTGATATATAGATAGAGCTAGTACATACAATGCCTAAAGCCACTATTACGCAATGCGTTTCGGGCAAGTTAGCTAAGCAAGTCACAGTCTTGATGAGCTAGTTACAAAATTCAACATACGTCGTCACATATTGTTGATTTAGGGGCGACGACGACCCATCGTCACATTCCACGACTTAACAAAATCAGTCGCCGTTCATGTAGAAAATGTAAACAAGAGCCGTTCGCGACTTCACAATCCGGATTCCATTTTTTTTTATCTTTTATTTACTTGGATTAACCTCACGAACTTGGAGCCAGATTCACGAAAGCACTTACGCAAACATTTACGAACCTGTACATCTTTTCTCAATCTTTGAGGGCTTTGTTTCCAATTAGTAAACAGTTAATGAGCTCGGAAGCACCAGGAGGCTGTTTATAACAATAACAACAGTTGATTGGCAAGTTTTCATGCTTGTAAACTGTTTAATAAATGTAACTAAAGCCGTCAAAGATTGAGGAAAGATGTACACGTTCGTAAGTGTTTGCGCAAGTGCTTTCGTGAATCTGGCCCCAGGTCCTAATACTGTTCCTTGGGGAGAGCGAGGTGTTACTTGGGGCCAGGAACTCTTGGTTTACTATGTGTTACTTAGGGCCAGGAAATTACTGACTTCTTCATTGTTACTTAGGAACACGGGGCCAGATTCACGAAGGTACTTACGAAAGTTTTTCCTTCTTAGCACCTTCGTAGCGGCTACGTCGGTACTCAGGAACGCATTTAAGAAGGAAAATCTTCGTAAGTATTGCTCCGTCGCGCTAAGAGTGCTGTCGACCTCTCGTAGCTTTACGTAAACTGGATATAACTCAATTTTTCTCTACTACACAACACGAAGGATCGATTTTATTATAAACAAAATATTTTAGCTGGAGAATTTCGTCAAAAGGCGAAATCTATATCCTTTGTGTTAGTTATATATATGTATTCTCTGCATGAACATTGTAGTAAATATGTCTTTTATGATTTTAGAACTAGTTTTATAATAGCAAGATATTATACCAGTAGTTATTAAGTCTCCGTGGTGTAGTGGTAAGACACTCGCCTGGCGTTCCGCGAGCGCTATGTCATGGGTTCGTATCCTGGCT